AACTTGTCACAAATAATAAGATTTGAAAAAGCCAAATATTGAAATACATTTATTTGTATACGTTCTCAAAATTTTACGGACTCATTTCAGTCCCAAAAAAGAGTTTTTTTGGACTCAATAAAATAGTACATAAAATAATTATTTTGAGTTCTATTTTTGTTTCTTTTCACTATTTTAGGTGTTATTTTCACTTATCTTTTACCATTTTTTTTACTATTTTTGTTTTTATAAACAAAAGTTGTCACAAAAAACTGAATATTGAAACAATAAGACTGAAAAAGTAATAAAGAAACTAAAAAAATCTAAATGTGTCTAAAATTTTGAGATCTGCTAGGGGAGAGTGCTCTATATTGGAGTAGTTTATCAAAAATGTCAAAGCCAAGAAAAGAAATCCAAAAAAACTATGTGATTTTGATAGTTTTGAACTTAATTTTCTCTTGGGCAAAGATTAGTCTGCCGGAATCTGATAAAATATTTTAATCGAATAAAAATGCAATTAAAATATTGTGATTTTTGAAAACACTTTTGTCAAGTTGGAAACAATTACCAAAATATTTGGGTTCGTTAAACTATTTTACGTAAATTATTATCGATTTCGGTGAGCTACGTAAAATAGTTATTTTAGGTGTTATTTTCACTTATTTTGGAGAAATTATTCATACACAATAAAATGTTTAAATGTGTTTTTGAAAGCTACCTTTTTAACTAAGTTTTTTACAAGAAATTAAAAAAATGTAAAAGTGCGAAGAGAAAGATTTTAATTTTTATAAAATCAAAAGTTGTCAAAAATAATAAGATTAAAAAAACTGAATATTGGAATATAAAACTAAGAGTAATGAAAAAAAAAACAACTCAAAATTTCGAGAACCGCTAGGGGAGAGTGCTCTATATTGGACTAGACTATCAAAAATGTTAAAAATAAGACAAACATAAAAAATAAGTTATTTTTAAATGTAAATGTGAGAGTGGTTTAAACTAGACTCTAAATTAGATTTTTTCCAAGACAAAAAAAGCCAAAATTTGTGAAAATTTTACTACATTTAAACAAAAAAAACAATTATAACAAAAGTAAAAAAAAACATGTAAGTAAGCGTCGACCAAAATCTTGGTTGAGACATGTGGTTTATAAAAAACATGTAAACAAACCACAAGTTCATTAACCATTTTACCAACAAATAAAAATTTCGAGAAAATAGTGAGTTGCAATCAAACAAAAACAAAAAAAACACAAATGATTAAATAAATAAATAAATACGAAAACAAGCTTCCCCCTCTCGTCCCCCGGATGCAGATAACTCGTCAAAATCACCTAAACCACTATCACCAAGTGACATAAATAAATCCAAATAAACAGCATTTGATATGAATTTGCGGCCTTAAGCTCCGCCCTTGCCCGCCTTCTCCGCCTTAAATCGCCCATCACTAAGAATCAAAGTCGCCTCCCACACCACTAAAACAATCGCCAACCTTCCCATCTCTTACAATAAGGATCACGCGTGCCGCGGTCTCGGCCTCCCGCGATTCCAACCACCCATCCTCTTTCTCTCTCACGGCGGCGAACCATCGAGTCAGTCGCGATTTGACAATCGACGGTTGTGTTGTTGTTCGCGGATGCGACGACGACGTTCACGTGTTTCGATGAGTGAGTGAAATACAGGGTGAGTGAGTGAAGGCGAACCAGTGAGCCATTTTGGACCGACTTCCCCTATATGAACTCGCGGTTTGATTTTTTAGGGTTTTTTGCGTAACCACATGTTGCCAACTGGCCGACGCTAAAATAAACGGTAAATAAACAAATAACAGAAGAGTGTGTGATGGGAATTGAGGTCGATTTTAATATTTCACAAGAATTTTTTTGTAATTGGGACGTACCAAAATGTGTGGTTGAAATTCCATTATTGTTTTTTGAGCCAAAAATGGTTGCGGTTGCCCTAAATCCGATTTTGGAAAAACTAGTTTTAGGACTTAATATTTTTTTGAGTGAGGAAACAAAGAGGGCTATTTTACAATTTTTATTCCAATTTACATAAAAAAAAATCGAATTTTTGTCTTTTTTTTTCAAATTAGGAAATAAAATTCGAATTCAGTCACTCCCGAAGGCAAAAATGCGGTTTTGCCAACAATTTCATTCAATTTCAAGTTAAATTTTGGATTTTTCGTTCGAAGCTCATTAAAAAATTACTCATACTTGAATTTTTTTGAAAAATTAACATTTTGAGGGTCAGGAAGTATTTTTCGATAATAAAAATAGTCAAAAAAGGGATTTTTTTTTAATAAAAATAAGGAATATTGATAACAAGTGAAATAATAATGACATCAGTTCTTGTCAGGTATTGTTTTTTCCCACCGTTTCTTACAATTCCATTGGAATCCGGAAAGGTTCACTTCTTTTCAATTATGATTCTACGAAATCGGTTCGATCTAGTCACCGTATCCAACCCAGGCTATTAGAATATCGTCCAAACCCACCTAAATAAAGCTCACCTTCCACGAAATTATAAAAAATATAAAGAAGGGGACGTTTTTGGGGCTTTTTTATTCCTCCCAAAAAACCTAACTGAATTTTAAAGTCTTGTTTAGAAAAAAAATAAAAAAACCAAGTGCATTTTAAAGTCCTGTTTGGGAAAAATTAAAGTCGGGGCCATATTTGGGCCAAGAATTTAGACCCAAACAGAATTAGGAAGATTTTTCAGAAAAATATTAATTAATAAAAACACTAGACTTTGGTCTTGTCAACAACGATAAAAATTGGGGCCAAAATTGGGGACCATTTTTTCATTTTCAATGTCAAAATTTTTTAGAAACTTCCAAAAACGATTGTTTTGAATCAACAGATAGCAGTTTTTGTAACTTTTCTTGTTAAAATTATAAATTATTTTTTTCAAATGCAAAAAAGGTCCTGTTTGAGGATTAACAAAAATTAGAAAGGACTTTCCAGCTAAAAAAATTGAAGTTGTGTTCTTGCAAAGCGTTTCCAAGATCACAGAATAGTCTTATTTATTTACAAAAAATCAGGGGACCATTCTTTCAAAAAATGAAGATGTTAGAAACAATTTTTTTTGTAAATTAAACGTTGTTTTTACCAACAAAAATAAAAATTTCGACCAAAATTAGGGACCATTTCTAGGACTATTTTTTCAATATAAACCAATTGGGGGCCTTTTTTGCCTTTTTGTCAAAATTAGACATAATTTTCTCAAAAGTCTCACACGAAAATTAAAAGATAACTCTAATTATTTCAAATTCGGGAATGGTAATTTTGTTAGGACTCAAAAAAAGCTGATTTTATTTCACAAAAATTGGAGTTGTTTCAAAGAAAAAAATATTGAAGCTGTGATGTTACAGATTAAACTTTTCAAGTATTTCTAATCACAGAATAGTCTTATTTATTAACAAAAAATGACGTAGTTAACAAATCAGGGGGCCATTTTTTTCAAAATCGGCTAATTTTAATTTTAAAATTCATGGGGACGTTTTTTCCAAAAAATTAAACGCTGTTTTTATTTTTTTTCATTATCAATGTCCAAATTCGTAAAAAACTATCAAGAACAGATTTTTTTGCCTTTTTGCCGAAACTAGACGTCATTTTCTCCAAAAAAAAAAAAAATTATTTTTGATTCACAAAAATTATAGTTGTGAACGTTTTTGGGACAAAAATAGAAAAAAAATAATAAAAAAATTGAAACTGATTTTTTGCAGACTGAACTTTCAAAGCGTTTCCAAAATCACAAAATAGCCTTACTTAAAATTCATAGGGCTGTGAGGGCCATTTTTACAAAAAATTATAACAAAAGCAAAAATTTGGGCCAAAATTAGCGACAATTTTTTCGTTTTCGATGTCCAAATTCGTTAAAAAAAGACTATTTTTTTAATGGAAACCAAGTGGGGGCCCTTTTTGCCTTTCTGCCGTTTGACGTAATTTTTCCCTAAAAATGCTCGACAATTTTTAGACTCAAAAGAGAATGTTTATGAATCAAAAAAATAAGAATTGTAAATGGATGTAGACGTTTTTGGGGCAAAATAAAAAAACATCCCAAACCACAAAAGTCTAATTTTTTTACAAAAACTGACCTAGTGGGTAAATCAAAGAGCCATTTTTTTCAAAAGCGTTTTTAATCTTAAAATTTATGTAGAGGTCGGACCATTTTTCTAAGAAATTAAACGGGTTTAAAAAAATTTTTCATATTCAATGTCAATTTCAAATTCGTTAAAAACTATTAAAAGGCCATTTTTTTTCCAACAGAAATGAGTTGGAGGCTTTTTTGTCGAAACTAGACGTCATTTTCCCCTAAAAATCTTTCTTTCTTTCTTTTTGATTCCAAAAATTGGGGTTGGGAACATTTCTGTGATCAAAAAAAGTCAATTTTTGGGTTTTGTGAAAAAGTCGAAATTTCAGGATTAGCGCCCCCTGCCCCCCATGCATCTCTCAGTCT